AGTAGTAGCTCTGTCGTAGTCTAGCCAAGTGGTTGGGTCAGGAGACAAGCTTTGTGGACTGCTATCTGCCCTATTTCAGGCAGCAGCTCATCACCCACATACTGTCAGCAGTCTACTTTTGAAGGCTTTGTTTACTGAAAGTTCACATGGAGATCAGCTCCTTGCCCTTCCACCCATCTCTGGTGCAGAGACTTGTGAGCTGTCTACTTTTGCAAGCTTTGTCTACTGAAAGTTCATGCAGAGATCAGCTACCTGCCCCTCCTTCATTCTCTGGTGTGCTCAGAGTATCCCACCCTCTCCACTGCATGTCCTTTTAAATTCCTTTTTTATTATTCAGCTTTTTTGTGTGTGTGTGACGCAAGGGTCAGTCTGTCCAGGGGACTATGCTGGTTTATCCAAGGTGTAGCTGTGGAAATACCATGTGCTGCTTACTTGCTCACCTGCTGGTCTGCATCTCCCAAGCAGGTTTGTAGCCAGCATCTGGCAGTGTGGGAGCCCTCCTGTTTTCTCAGTGTAACCTGGCTTGGAGAATCTTTGTATAGGCTGGGGGTTTGGGGTGTTGGAGTTTTGCTTCTTCCTGATGTTTTTTTTCTGCCAAGTGTGGCTCCAGCGTCTCAGCAAGATTTTTGATTTATGGAGCTCACACTGTCTGCTTCTTCCCTCTAGTCACCATCTTGGATTTGCCATAGTATTTTATTTTGTATATGTGCCACACTTTCTTTACCAACTTTTCAGTTAATGGACATTTAGGTTGTTTCCATTTATTTCATATGGTAGTTCTGTTTTTAATTTTTAAGAACACTCCATGATATTTTCCACAAAGACCATAACCAAATATTAGCATCAACAGTATGCAAGTATTCTCTTTTCTCCACATTTTCACCAGAAACTGTTATCTTTTATGTTTTTGATCATCACCATTCAACCACAATGATATCTCATTGTGATTTTGAATTGCATTTCTTGATGATGGGTGATGCTGAGCATTTAAAAACACCTCTTGGCCATTTCTTTGAGAAATATCTATTTAGATACATTGCCATTGTTATTTTGGGTGGTTCTGGGGTTTTGAACTTAGGGCCACTCACTTATAGGCAGAGGCTTCATTGCTTGAGTCATAGTCTCAACTCTTTTTGGCTTTATTTATTTTTTAGGCAGGGTCTTGTCTTTTCCCAGGGCTGGCCTCAGACAGTCATCTCCTACCTCTGACTCCCACTTAGTTAGGATCACAGGCATATATCACCGTGCCCAGCTTATTGGTTAAGATGGGGGGCAGTGCTTTACTAGCTTGTCACCACTGGACTGGGCTCAAACGGTGACTCTCTTGATCTCCACCTCTTAAGTGGGTGTGAGACACCATGCCTGGCTGCCATCTTTTAATTTGGGTTGTTTGTTTGCTATTGAGTTGTTTGATTTCCTTTTATAGCAACACAAGTTGTAGGAACTTCTTGTAGTGAAGGATCAGACTCTGCTTTATGGAAAGTACAATTAGTTTATCATCAGTGTACAGTCATACCTATTTTTGTTTGTTTTAAAAAAGCTTATTGAGAATAAGCTACATAAAAATTGATGTTTATTAGCCCCAAATGCTTTCTTGTGGGCTTTTTAAATGAGTCCTCCTGCCTAGAGTAACCACTGATATGATTCTGTCATCAAGACCACAGACAAATAACCACCTAGTCTATGGCTTTGTGTAAATGAAAACATTTGGCATTTCCTCTTATGTTTGGTTCCTTACACTAATCACATTTGTAAGATTTGTCCATGTTGCTGCATGTGTCAGAATTTGGATAATTTCATTCAATTGTTTAGCTATTTTTATCTCTCTATATACACTTACTTCATATTTCTTAAATTTTGTATAAGAAAATGTATATTTACATTTGTATTCAGGAAGTAACATGTAACATGTGATCACTTAAAGCTCTGAGTGTGTGGCAGAGCATTGTTAACTAGACACAGTGTTGTACATCATAACTTTAGAGCTTACTGATCTTCTACACCTGAAAATTTATATCCATTAAGTGGAAGTTCTCCACAGTCCTGGCAACCTAACAGGTTGACCTTTCATAAAATAGAATCATACAGTGTTTTTCTTTTTGTGAGTGGTTATTTCACTTAACAGAATATCTTTCAGGTTTTGTATTATCTCTTATGCAACATTTCTTTCTTTTCTAAGACTAAATAACATTCTTTTGAATATTTTGTATTGTATACCATATTTTGTTTATTCATTCATCATTGAATGGACATTTATTTTTCCACCTTTATTTAGTTATAACTTACAAATAAATATTGTGAACACATACAGCTTACAATATGATACTTTGATTTATTATGCATTTTAAATTGATTACCACATTCAAGCAAAATATGATATTATCATCCATCACCTACCATAGTTGCAATATTTCCTTTTGTGGTACAAATATTAAAAATATTATGCTTTAGCTAATAAAATCAATTTCATAGTTCTATATCTCAGTTTATGTTTCCTAACAAGTGTCAGTTTTTTGGGAGTGATTTATTAACTATATTACATGCATAATAATAAAGAAATATATGGTTCAGGCATTTCACTTAGCAAAATACAGTTATGTTTCACTATTGTTATTACTCATTAATATTCATTGAAAAATAATATTTCACTGTTTTCCTGTGGAATAGTTTGTTTAAACATGCATTTGTTGAGAGACATTTTGGTTGCTTCTAGTTTGGGGTGATTATAAAGAAAGTTACTACAAATATTTGTGTATAGGGTGGAATTTAGTGACTTAGCTTGAATGTCTAGCAGTATCTGTGATGTCTAAGAAGTGGCAGGTGTATGTTGGGGAAATTGCCACATAGACTCATGCAGTGGACTAGAAGTTGGAAAGTATATTGATCAAAAGAAAAGAATTAATTTTTTTGAAAGAGCATAAAGTCACTTGGATCCTCAACACATTTCTGTACACAAAGTTCAGCATTCAATCATGCATGTAGTTCACCATTATTACCACCCATGCAAAGTCAGATAAAATTGAAAATTATGGAAAAACACTCAGTAAACCAAACTACAGGTGATTGAGATAATGATGTAAGAAAATAATAATCGTATAGTTGAAATTTGCTGAGAAAGCAAATTTTAAGTATTTTTTAACCACAAAAAATCTAATTGTGTGAGGTGATAGGTGTTAATTAGATTGATTGTGGGACTCATTACACAGGTTATACTTATATCAAAACACCACATTTCACATATTAAATATATACATTTCTTTAAATTTGCAAGGCATACATAAACAAAGTTGAGAAAACTTTTAAACAAGAACTTAAAAATCTTAATGGTTATTTAAACCAAAAAACTGAATGACAAAGAGTATAAAATAGGCATTGTTTTGGTTGGGGAAACTGGTGGGAAGGTGAAAGGAGACCATGATGGGGAGGGATGATTGTGATTGAAGTACTTTAAATGAATACATGAAAATAAAATAACAAAGCCTGCTAAAATTATTTTTAAAGGGGGAGAGAAGGATGGGGAAGGGTAATAGAAGGAATAAATTTAGCAAAAGTACATTATATGAAAGTATAGAAATATCACAAAACCCTCTTATACAATTTATGCTAATAAAAATAAAAAGATCTTAATGGTTAATAAATTCATGAAAATAGAAAAATTAGTTGGATAAAAGCAGAAAATATGGAGAATTTCACCAGAGTATGGGATTCTATGAAAAAAATCAAACATGTATCCTAATAAAACTACAGTGTCTAAATTAAGTTCTTTAGCTATAAAGGACCTTGTAAACTACAGTAAAATAGTTTGTACAATACAGAGACAATGAGTTGCTTTGAGGTTTGTTAGGGCTTAATTGTAAAGCTATATATTTTGACTTTCTAAATTGAAATTTTTGAATATTAAACATTTCTTATAATTCTTAATAAGTGCAATGCTCTTACCTCAAAATTCACTTAAAATTATAGTCATCAGACAGCAAAGCAAATCTTGTGATTGCCATCCAGGATATGATTGTCACCATGCATCATTATAACAGATAACAACCATAGCCTGACTCATGCTAATCCCAGAGTGTGGTGTGCTTAGGAAGAGGAGAGGAGAATGGGAGAGGCAGGGGTCATCTTTTGTTTTCAAATTGTTGCACAAGCACAGCAAGGTATTGACAAATAGATTTTTATTATTTTTATATTTATAAGTAAATTACCATGTGATTTTTAAACTGTTGAAATTATTTTTAGAAAGTTATGGTCATGAAGAACGAAAAATGATGTCAACAAAAGGAAGTTGAAAAGTGATCTTTAAAATTTATGATTTTATGATATCCTATTTTGTTTAGCTTAAAGACAACAAAATCAAATGAAAATTCAGTCTACTGTAAGCCTCACTGTGTTAAGATTAAACTCTTTCATTACCTTGATAAATATAAATGTTTATGTACCAATGAAAAATAAAAAATGGTGAAATCCAGTGGACAAAAGGAATTTCTATTCACTCCCTTAAAGAATTTGCACCCCTGTGATTTCTAATTACATGCACCTACTTATGCATTTTCATGTAGAAGGAAAAGACTTGCATTTTCATGTAGAAGGAAAAGACTTTGAGAAATAGTGGATAATAAAGGCAGATTTCATGGAACAAGTGATCTTTAGTCTTTTGGACAGTGAAGATTGAGTGAGAGACATTAAGAGTTAATAGATGAATGAAAGAAAACAGGATGATTTTTACATTAGAAACATGAATGAAGGTGTTAGTTCTAGCATAGCAAATCAGTTCTTGACTATTTGACCCAATGCATTAACGCTGATAAAGGAGATGGCAAACATTTATCTGTGTGCCGGTATTATTGTCAAAATCCAAGTAATATCCCCAAAAGACTATATAAGTAACACTTGTCAAAGTTGTACTCAACTAAGAACAACTCCATTCCAAAAAATGCTAATATTTATGAATCCTAGTACCTTCTCTTTCACACAATGTTTTATTTCCAATATGAAAAAATATCTTAAGATTTAAGTTGACTATGGATAGTCTTAAAATTGAGGATAGAACATTTCTGAGAGTAGCACTGTAGAGATGGGGAATTTGTATGGTTGCAACACTTTCCCAGGCACTTCTGTAGGGCTCCCACCACTTCTTTGTTCCCCAGGCTGTAGATAAGAGGTTGAGCATGGGCGTCACCACGGTGCCAAGAACAGCTCCTGTCTGGTCTTGCTCAGGTGTGTGGGAAGAGCTGGGTGTCATGTAGATGAAGATGGCCTGACCAAAGTAGAGACTTACTACAGTCAGGTGGGAGGAGCAGGTTGCTAGAGCTTTCTTCTTACCATTTAGAGAGTTCATCTTAAGGACAGTAAGGAATATGAGAGTACAGGAGGCCAGGATGAGAATAAATAGGACAAGGAGAAAGATAATTGTTGACACAAATTTCACCATCTCATAGACTGATGTGTCCACACAAGACATTCTCAGAATGGCAGGCATCTCACAAAAGTAATGATTAATCTCCCTGGAGCCACAGATGGGGAAATTCATTGGATAGATAGTATGGACAAGGGCTGCAAGAACTGCTCCAATCCAAGCTGTGACAGCCATTTGCAGACAGACTTTGGGACTCACAAGGACTGTGTATCTCAGGGGTTTACAGACAGCCACATAACGATCATAGGCCATGAGGGTCAGTAGGATGCACTTGGCAAGGCCAAGAGTGAGGAAAAAAAACATCTGAGAAGCACATGCAACATAGGAAATGTTCTTCTTCCCTGTAAAGTAGTTGATGACTGTCTTGGGGACTGTGCTAGAGATGTAAGCCAAGTCTACAACAGACAGCTGACTGAGCAGGAAGTACATGGGGGGTGTGGAGGTGGGAATCCAGCCAGATGAGGAGGAGTAGGATAGAATTTCCAGCAAAGGCAATGGTGTAGACGAGGAGTACAATGAGGATGAGGAGGTTAGGATACCTGAATATGGGAAACAGCCCCAGGCGAATGAAATCAGTTGAGGTTTTGTTCTTCGGGTCCATGTTCTCATTCAACTTTCTTGCTTGAACTGAAAATCTGCCAGGGGAAAATAATATCACAAAGAATGAGATGTTTGAATGTAAGAATTTTTATGTCTTGGTCAGTACCTCTTCTTCATTATTCTGTGACCAGGATTCTAAAACTATATATTCCCATAAGAGAGATATTTAAAAAATTCCATCAAATCAAAACACTTTTATCTGGAAATTTAAAAAGTCATATTTTATAGTTATTCTGATTTTAACAAACAAATATTTAGTCCCTTTGACTGGTAATAATTTCTAACTGTATCAATTTCTTCTCATATTTTGAATTTTTAAGTGTGATCCCACATTTGCAAAGTTGTCCTAGGGACAATACGTAACACCTCATTCTTTCCTCTTAGGACAAATGAAGACATATATACTCATCTGATAACAAGTATCTCATGAATATTCAGTTTTAAAATTAATAAGCTGATTCCTTTGTGTACCCTGAAAATTAACAGTTGATAGTGTTCTCTTTCAATCAACAACCACTGGAAATTTTACTTTTATTGTTTTCTTTATTTTCACTTTTTTGGCAGTACTGGGGTTTGAACTCAGGGCTTTATGCTAGGCAGGTGCTCTGACACTTGTGCCATGACCTCAGCCCCTACTTTCAGTACTGAAAATATAATTTAAATACTTTGCTGTATCTAACCTTATGTTTTTATGCCTTCATTTGAGACAATGAAAATAACACATTATGTGGTGTCTCACAGTCAATGGAGAGAAGAAAGTTCTCAGTGTCATACTTTCAGTGTGGAGCCATGATCACCTTTTGGCTGTGCTTTGTACCTGGAGAATTTTGTTTCTTTAAGGTATCAGAGGTCCTGAATGCCTCTGGGTTATGGGCTGCTTTTCTGGTGGTCCCTAACTCATAATGCTTATTTGTCTTCCTGAATGTTTGATTTTAAATGCTTCCTATAACATACACCATTTTTTTAAATCTGGAGAATGAAATCATGGGAGAAATATCCTTAAAAATAATGATCCAATGTGCTCAGTTATCACACATAAAATATAACACAATGTGTACAAATGAACAAACAAGGGGCATTAACAAACATTGTATGCACATATAAATAAAAGAAAAAAATTAAAAAAATCAAACAATATGTCATGAAAATGTTAATAATAAAAGAAACAAATAAAAAATGGTAGATTCAATGGATCATTGACAGACTAGGAAGTAGACAGAAATGCTACTAAATATGCAAAATACTATCTCTATGAATGCTAAAGCATTAGTTACCACGTCTGCATGTAACCTGAGGACAAGTTATTGATATTTTCCACACATTCAATAGGAATACCTTAGTTCTACCAATATCTCATAAACTTGAAAATTAATGTATAGCTCAAGGATTCAGTTTTTTCAGGAACTAAAAGGTTTTCTTTGACTTCTTAAAAATTATAATAAATCAGTAACTGTCAATGAAACCATTACACACCTACTTTAGTATATTAAAATTATAATTCAATAATAAATCATGCAATCATGACTAAATGATGTAAAACAATGCATAAACAATATTATTTCAAAACTTTTATTGTTTAATACATATATTTTTGTCCTCAAATGGCAAATAGCGAATTTGAGAGATTAACCACAGGAATATTTTTGTGTGAATGAAAAAAGGCGGACCATATTGTAAGTGTGTAGATAGATTGCTCCTGCCGATAACTCACCTAGCTCCTCTCAATGCTGTTAAATTCTCCTAGAATGTCCACAGAGCAGAGCAATCTTTTTGTACTACAATAACACAAGACGTGCTTTTCCCAGCTCAATAATCCCAAGTGACGTGGATGACATTGTTGTCTTCCCCCAATGGCAATAGCAACAGTAATGATAATTACAAAAAGCATAGTTATCATTTACTAACTGGAAGAGTCCATTGTGTACATTATCTCACTGACTTTCTTATGGTCCTATGTAAAATCTTGAGGAAATGAAATAGAAAGGGATGGTGCAATGTATCCTTCACGTGTCTTCTATAAGAATTAGCTGAAGAAATACTGGGATCCAGGAAGTTTTTTCCAAAGTCTCTCTCTATCAGGACACTATTCTGTCTCTCTAGGCAATTACATATTATTGGTAGCATTGGAATTTATTTTTATCTCTTACATCTTCCACTTCCTGAAAAAAAATGCATTTCCCTCCTTGTGACTCAAGGTGAGAAGCATCTTTCTTTTTCATGTGAACCAACAATGGGCACGTTCTAGCTTTTCAAAGTGTTTTTCCTGGAATCTGTGGTTCAAGGACTGAATGAACAACCAGAGTTAACACCTTGTACAGAAGGCAATTGTTATATTAAAAAGTAAGTTAATATTTTTCCTCCACAACCACCAGACTCCTGGTTTGTTGCTGCCAAGTGAGTTCCAGGTACTAAAGCCATGTTGTGTCCCATAGCTCTTTCTCTTGTACTGAGAAAAGACAAGAGATTTCTGACATCTCAAATCCACGAAAAGGACTAATTTCATCTCTGTTCCACATCTGGTTCAGGTCTGAGAACAGTGATGGCTCAGTATCATCTTCTGGACCAAATCAAGTCCTCCCATAGCTCCCAAGTGCCATAGAATTGGTGAACCGTTGACAGGTGTCTCATGGAAATCTGTCCCCAGACTTTAATTAATGATAGACTCAGATCAGGTGCCAGGCTCTTAGAAAATCTCTGTTCAGCATTTTGTAGAATTTATTTGCAAAAATAACACAGTTGTAATATTACTGTCTCTATGCAAATGGAAATTTTAAAGAATTCCATATTGGAAATGTGACCATTAACTTCTTGGATAATTTTATTTTATTTTTGCTTTTAAATTTTTTATTGCTGTGCTGGGTGGGGGTACACTGTGGTATTTACAAAGGTTCTTACAATGTATCAAATATATCATACTTGAACTCACCCCCTCCACTGCTCTCTTTCATTAGCCCTCCCCTGATTCCTGGAACAGTCCTCATTCCTGGTATCATTTTCTACATTTACATACATGTGTATACATTATTTGCAACATATTCATCCTTCTACCCCTTTCCCTGCCACCTCACCCTCCCACTGGTGCCACCACCCGCCTCCAGCAGCAGAACAAGTTTCACTTTTCTATTCTCTAATTTTGTAGAAGAAAAAAACATAAAAGATAAAAAGAGAAACAAAGTGTTTTTGCTAGTTTGAGATAGAGATAGCTACACAGGGAGTTTCCTTGAGTGGTTTCCATGCATATATGTATCATAACCACAATTGGTTCAACTTTACAAGTCCTCTTCATTCCTCCCTAGTCCACTTCCCATAGTGGCCCCGGCCAGTTTAAGATTTCTATATTCATTCCTGTACTGTGAGCACATCAGGCACATTCAAGTTTTTGGTTTCCTTCCTGGCACTACCCTTCCCATGTGTGGCCTCCCCTTAGTGTGACCCATGTCCATATTGCTGCATTTGTTTTAGGTTTATAATTCCCATGTGAAGGAGAACATGCAGCTTTTGGCCTTCTGAGCCTGACTAACTTCATTTAAGATCATGTTCTCCAGTTCCATCTTGGATAATTTTAAAAGAATAGAGAGAAATTAAAAAAAAGTTTATCAAAACAAACATGAACCTTAAAGCAGAATCATTGTTGAGAAAGCCAGTGACTGTTACAAACTCTCTGACTATACTTATTCCAAGTTAATATGTGTTTGAATATCAGTTTATCTTGTCCCAATTCACTTCACTTTAGAGAAGCTGGGAGGAAAATGAATTGGTAGTACCAAGTCCAATAGTTGTAGGTAGAGAGGTAACAAGAAATCTTCTTTTGTGTGTGATACTAATTGTAAAAAGGGGTTCCACTATGGTGCTTCACACATGCATATATTATACATTGATAAGATTAATCCCTCTATTTCTTTCCCCCTATTTTTCAATAGTTTTCAGGGAGTTGCCTTGTGTCATTTTCATACATAGATACAATATGTTTAGGCATTGTTTCCTCCTATAAAGAAGAAATCTCAGCTAAAGAAAAATTTCAATAAGGCAAGTCATTTGTGTGTCCTAGAAATAGTTTTTATGGTTTTCACTTTAATTGTGACTTTTATTTGAATTTCTGGATGAAAAAAGTTCCATCAGATACCATTTTGCTTAAAACACTAGACACCTACCATGTAAGAATGCTCTATGTGAGATCTGATCTACACCTGTGAGATTTGTGGTCTTTTCCAAAATCAGAAAACACCGTATTTCCCTGGTCTTTACTTCCTACTCATCCAGGTAAATATTTGTTTTCCAGTCAGACTGGAGGATGCAATCCCTTCCTAGATCAATGACTTTCCTTGGAGTCACCACACCTTTTTTAGTGAATGCTGCAGATTGCTATTGCCCCACTTTCAGGCAGCTGGAATAAAAGGTGATTAAAGATTTAATGCTCTCCAAATCACAAAAAATTTTTATATATTTTATGTTGGAGACAGATTCACTTTCTTTGATATACAGTTGATTCTTGTTCATTGTATTTTATTTGGTAAAGTCATTGTGAACACTGAATTATTGAATATGAAATCACTTACCCTAGGGACACGCAAGGTTGTTTATGGTTCCTGTAATCACAATATTTTCATCAACTGATCAACACATAACCTTGTTTTATTTGTGCTCTTCTTTAAAGACAGAGCATTTAATATGAATTACTGATTAATTAATATTGAACTCTTTGAATTAGTTAACATTGAGCTTACTGAGTTGTAGCACCATAAGTTATGGCTGAATAAAACTTAACAGAAAAGATCATTTCCCATAAGATCCATCACAGCTTTCTTGTTCTTAATAACTTAGAACTTTTGGACTATGCTTGCAGGCTATTTTAAACAGCTAAGCCATCAATTAAAAAGATCACACATTAAATAGACCACATAAAGAGCAGTTATTCATAATAGGAGAGGTGAAATCAGAAGTCAGAGTATAATTTTCCACTTTTGCTGGGAATATACACACCTTGGTAACTCAAGGTTTTTA